TGAAAATGTGGTTAAAAAGGCACATAGAACTTCATAAAAAGCAATACAAAAAACAAAGAATCCACAATGAGCCTTCATTAAACACTGGTTCAGCTTCATTTGGAGTAGTGTGTCTAATTCTGAACGCCACACTTTAGGAATGTTGTGAGGGTTTTTGAGAAAGTGTGGAAAAGATTTGCAGGAATTGTTCCCATGTTGAAGAACTTCAGTTAAATAGGTAGATTGGTGAAGCCGGAATTCTTTTCCGTTGAGAAGAAAGTGTTGAGAGGAGACCATAAGAAATAGGAACAGGAGTAGCCTGTTCTCTCAAGCCTGTTTTGCCATCCAACAGGATCGTGGTTGATCCAACATTCCTCACATCTATTTTCTTGCATTTTCCCCTGTAACCCTTGATTCTCCTACTGATCAGGAATCTATCTACCTTAGCCTTAAATATACACAGGGACTTTGCCCCCACAGCTCTCTGTGGCAAAGAGTTCCAAAGACTCTCAACCCTCACAACAGTTCCTTCTTGTCTGTTCATCATCAGAAGTTTTGATGTAGTGTTCAAAATCATGAAGTATTTAAACAGTCTAGATTGGAAGAAACTGTTCCCATTGGCAGAAGAGTCAAGAATCAATGGACACTACTTTAAGGTGATTGGCAAAAAGAGTTAATAACTACACACAGAAGAACTTTTCTTGTGCAGCAAGTAGTTTGGGTCTGAAATACACTGCCTGACAGTGCAGTCAAAGCAGATTCAATCATAGCTTTCAAAGAGGAATTGATAAGGAAAGAGCAAACAAAATAATTATGGGATTACAGAAAAAGGGTGTGGGTGTGTGATTAGCTGAGTTGCTCTCACAGATAGCTGACACTGTTTCTCCACTACAGCCATTCTATGATTCTAATCACCTCATTTATTGAACAGTAGATACAATAAGAACAGAATAAAAGAAATTTATGTTTTTAATTTAAGAGTTAATCTCTTCCTTAAGTACCTATCTGTAGAGCGTCTCCAAGTTTAAAGAGAAGAGTTAAGGATTTTCTCGAGAATTATTCCCATCTGCAAGTCCCAAATTCCCATTTATCTGAAGTGCCAGTGTCTAATAAAAACAAATGTCTTTATAATACATATTCAAAAGCTCTTCACAGCCACTGAATTATTTTTGAGTAGCCATAACTATGGTCTCGTCAGCAAATGCTGCAGAAATTTAGATTGACCAATGTCTGTTAAACAGCAAATGAGGTAAATTAACCATTCATGATTTTTTTGGAGCCTGTTGAAGGATAAAGGATGACAAGAATACCAAAGAAGCTCCATGAACTCATGCCTCAAATCGTGCTCTAGGATTCTTATGGCAGAGTTCCTTCATCCATGTGAAAGACAATACTTTTGCTAGTACAGTGCAATCCCTTTAGATTAAGTGCTCACAGCCAAACTTGAAGCTTAATCCCCCAACTTCACGGCCTAATGTGATCCTACTGGGCCCAACTAATGCTAATACAGTTTTAAGTACAGCACTCCAGATGTGGAAGTGAAAGAAAGTCTTTGAGAATTGCCACATCGTCAGCCCCTAATCCGTGCTGAGCGAAAGGACGTGAATGTCAAACTCACCAATAAGCCCCAGAATCTAGATTTCTATTCGTCAGCCACAATCCCTTGATCTAACCATCACCACTTTCTCAAGGGCACTTCAGGATGGACAACAAATCCTGACCTCATTAGTGATGCTCAACATAAAAGTGAACAACAAAAAACTAAATTACTTGCAGTTGCTTGCCATGCATTAGTTCAGGCATTCTCATCCAAAGGAAAGTTAGATAGCATCAGTGAGGATCGAGTAAATCATGAGCATTTTTTGGGACAAAATCTCTAAGTTCATATTTGGTACCCTATATATAGAATACATATTATACTAATCTGTTCACTGCTCTGTTAGCTATCTAGGCCAATGTTACAGAAATACACTTTTTTCACTGGAAGCAGTTTTCTAATATATTCCAAAAGTGTCAACATTTTGTAAGTGTTTTGTTTACTTCAACAATAATGTGCTGATGGGTTGTTTTCCCCATCCAATTCTATGAAACTTCTCTCTGACTATTCCCTTCTAGTCTGGCAGCTTTCAGGTCTTTTGGTGTGGGGTATTATCCAAGTGCAAATTGTGTCACAGTCACAGTTTGGACTACAAAACTAGCATCATTTTATCAATTGCAAATTCAATTATGATCATTGCCACTGGACTTTTGGAATATATTAGAAAACTGCTTCCAGTGAAAAAAGTGTATTTCTGTAACATTGGCCTAGATAGCTAACAGAGCAGTGAACAGATTAGTATAATATGTATTCTATATATAGGGTACCAAATATGAACTTAGAGATTTTGTCCCAAAAAATGCTCATGATTTACTCGATCCTCACTGATGCTATCTAACTTTCCTTTGGATGAGAATGCCTGAACTAATGCATGGCAAGCAACTGCAAGTAATTTAGTTTTTTGTTGTTCACTTTTATGTTGAGCATCACTAATGAGGTCAGGATTTGTTGTCCATCCTGAAGTGCCCTTGAGAAAGTGGTGATGGTTAGATCAAGGGATTGTGGCTGACGAATAGAAATCTAGATTCTGGGGCTTATTGGTGAGTTTGACATTCACGTCCTTTCGCTCTTTAACTTCTTCCTGGTACTAGCACCCTCATTCTCCACAAGGACAATATTTCTCTTGATTCTCCTCAATGTCTTCTACACCCCTATTGCCTTGGATTCTCAGTTGAGAAACCAACCACTTTCCCACCTGCTAGGGGGGCAAATAATTGGGGAGGTGTCAAATTGAAGCCATTAAGTGACCATTAGCAGACCAATTAAGGAACTTTGTTGGTGGCAGTTCAAGAAAGTTCTTTATGGACCTTCTTGATCCAAACTTCATTATCTTAAGCGAGGGGAAAGTTACACCCATTGAATCTAGTCCTCAGTCTGCACGGAAAATTAATATGCAGTCAAGGCTCATTAAAATAGCACAACAGGATTTCTGTTTGCAACATAAGAATCACTGAGCTAAGGTTATTGATTTGGTTTCACTGGGCCATTTGCTGCATTGTTGTATTTAAACCAATAACTTCTTAAAATTGACGAACTTATAAAGGTTGAATAGTACAATACAGCAAGAACTGTTAGCATATATTTTTGGAGGACCTTCTCTACTCCATTTTATTTGTTTCATTGATAACTGCCTGTACAAATGAGCAAATAATTAGGATGTTTCAGAGATAGTAGGAACTGCAGATGCTGGAGAACCTGAGATAACAAGATGTAGAGCTTGATGGACACAGCAGGCCAAGCAGCATCAGAGGAGCAGGAAGCTGACGTTTCGGGCCTGGACCCTTCTTCTGAAAAAGGGTCTAGGCCTGAAACGTCAGCTTCCTGCTCCTCTGATGCTTGGCCTGCTGTGTTCATCCAGCTCTACACCTTGTTATCTCAAATAATTAGGATTTTTCCTTTACATGTTCAAGAATGATGCTAATGTCTGTTTATGTACTTTTCCCTGTTTATCTTCCTATCTGTCTCCAAACAGTCTAACCTTGGTATTGTATTACCCTAATCCTAACCACTTCCTATATTGTGTTATTTCTGACTGTCTATTACTTTTCATGGAATTTTAGAATAGTACAACTGAGAAGGAGGTTATTCAGCCAATTGAGCTAGGGGCTCGGAGGTAAAATTCAAATTTAGGGCACATTTTGTGGCTTCTCAACTTTCCCTTACTTGCTTCCTGATATTTTCTCTTTTGATCCAGGCCATCTGAGCACAAACCTGCATTATATTATCCTTTTTCTGATGAAGGGTCTAGGCCCGAAACGTCAGCCTTTCTGCTCCTATGATGCTGCTTGGCCTGCTGTGTTCATCCAGCCCTGCACCTTGTTGTCTCGGATTCTCCAGCATCTGCAGTTCCTACTATCTCTAATTATATTATCCTGCCAGAATTCTTTAAGTCTAGATAGACAAAAAAAGAATCAGTTTTATCCATATAGAAAATTGTGTAGGTGCAGTTGTGCCAGAGAACCATTTTCATGTTTGATTCTGTTTTGGGGGATAAAGAGTTATGTTCAAAAGTTTCAAAAAAAAACTAGAAGTATGGAGATTTTACTGACCGTATCATGATTGAGTTTGGTTAGACCAAACCTCTTCAATTTTGGATGAATTTGAATTTTGTCTCAGGATGCAAGCAGATCTTTGCTGCATCAGAATATGACAGTGAATTATATGTTTAATTATTATCATTTTCCAAATGGCCATTGTAATTGTGCTCTGGATTACTTCAACCAATACTTCTGTCATCAATGTAGCAGAGCAGATTTTTGTTTTTGCACACAGTGGTAAAAGAAGATTCACTGTTTATAAAAGCAATTCAAAATTGATCTGGTGTAACAATGTATTTTTGAACATTTTATGCTTTGTATTCCTAGTATAATAATTGTAAACCATTAGAAACGAGAAAACTCATAGCAAAAAGCATTATACACTTTTGGAGTTAATATATAATTCAATATTTCCATCAACAATTCTTGCAACATCTAAATATGTTACACTGAAAGGTTTGTCATTATATTCTAATTAGCATGTGAAAAGACACCACCACTGAGAATTTCTGACTTAATTGCCCAACCTCAGGAGAAACAACCAGTGACACTGGCTGCTTGAGTCTTGTTGGCCTCCAGGAATAGCTTGCAAGAGCACCAGTGCAAAGATCAGATCAAATCCAAAATGTGTAGTTTCAGGAGCTGCAGTAGAAATTTCTGCCGATTATTGTCATTGCTGACCCTTTCTTCTCCACCTCTGGCATACCCTCCCTATCTATCTCCATCCTCCACTCCCGCCTCTGCCCCAAAACAGTTTGGCAGATAGCTATTGATATTGCTCTTCAGACAGATTATTTTAGTTTAGGTGCTCATTGTTGATACAGTACTATTGCCTGTCAATACTGCACTGCACTTTTAGTTTTTAGAATTGTTTTCTTTATTACTAGGCAGTGAAACGATGGAGTGTTTCATCAGCAGGAAGTGATAAAACCAGTCTCAGTGTAAGTACGGTGCTTTCTAACTGAATTTCTAACAGTTCACTGTATGCAGGTCGCTTCTGGCACATTGCACAGCAGAATGGCCTGGTAACTGCAGAGGGTTCTCAATGGGAATCCTGGGACTCAATGATTTCACAGCGCTAAACACTGTGTGTCAAAGACTGTGTGCAGAGGGAACAGCTTATATGGAAAGATCCATCTGACAGAGATCGTGACAGACAGCAAACCTTCACTGATGCTTGCTTATGGGTCTCTGCGGTCTACACTTGCTCCCATAACAGCTTAAGTTTTGTGATTTTCTCCGTTTTTGTCAATTGCAAAGAAACCTTGTTATGGTCTACCCAATTCAATTTCCTGACAAAATTTCATGAAATGATTACCTGGATCCAAAAAGGTGTTAAAGTGAAATTCATTGAAAATGTACTCACCTTACAGCTTGTTTTATTTTTCTGTGACTAATTGCTTTCCATGAACGGCATTAGATGATTCAAGGAACATTGAAGGTTATAACCTGAATTAGATATAGGGTAAGGTTCCTCCCTTAGCTGCTTAAGGTCTGTGTAAAAGGGAATGCTTTTACGAATTTATGATTAATTGAACTATTTTTCTTTCAACGTCCCGTCAGTGTTTCTTGATCTAATTTCAGAAGACCCAGATGCAGCTTCTCTAAATAACCATGTAAAGTGGTGCCGTGCTGCACAAAATCACAAGACGTTTTGTAGTTTCTGAATTGAGCTACCATTTCAGCTTGTTACTATGGCATGGGCTGCAGAGATTGGGCGATCTTGAAACTGAGTTTGTAAAATGAACAAACCTTATTTATCTTTTAATGTTTCAACTCGATGACCTTTCACCAGAACAGCTGATTAGGTCATCGACCTGAAAGGTTAACTGTTGTTTCACTTAGATTTTCTAGATTTTCTTCCTTTGTTCTTATTTCTGATTTGCAGCATCCTCAGTATTTTGCTTCTGTATAAGCTGTGTTCAGTGTACCAGTATACAGAACCTTCATTCTAATTCCTATCAGTTACAAGATATACAGACTTAAAGTTTCTTTCTCATTTACATTCAGAGACAAGCATATTCTAGGTCCAAAAGGCCAAAAATCCTAAAAGATTATGCAAGTTGTGATACAAGTGAGTTATGCTCATAAACACAATACGCCTGAAGCTCTTAGATCCATTAACTTTATTTCCGAATGGATATCTTCTACAAAATTGATTGGCCCAACTCTCAAATGGAAGGATATTCACTTTGTCACAGCAACACAGGAACCATTTTACGCTACATCAGCGAAAAATAAAGCAAGCTGTTAGTTTAATATTTATTGAATAAATTTCACTTGAATACCTTTCCAGATCAGGTAATCATTTACAAAATTTTGTCAGTAAATTAAATTGAGTAGATCATAACAATATTTCTGTTTGATTATATTGATTAATTTATTGATTAATTCATTATATTACCTCTTTTGCATATTTCAGAAACTGATACCTCGAGCACAGATTTCATGCATTGGAAATGCTGCTAATGAGAAAACAGCATTTATTCTAACAGAGTTTCTCAGCTCAAAGAATAATCTCTCTCCTTCAGATGCTGATTGGTCGACTGTGTATTTCAGAATGTTTTATATTTGCCTCAGTCCTAGTATGTATTGGTGTTACATGGTTACAATGAACAGGAAGCAGTTGATTGGAACTCTGGACTTGGGTTTCCTAGGATTTTAACCGTAATTAATAAACTGACCATTTTCCCAACAGCAAGAGAAGCAGACTCCAATCAAGCGGCCTTGGGAAGGAATCCGAAAGGTGCAGTCTCCACCCGCATGGATTAAAAAGGAACTGGATCCCACCCATCAATCTCCCTTAGAAATGAGAACGGTGGAATGGGAAAAAACAGGAGCAACAATACCACTTGGTGGACAGGACATCATTGATCTTCAGACTGAAGTCTGACCTGAGGAGTGACTTTTTTTTTAAATTTTAAAACAGATTGGTTTCTTTTGAAACCTTATTACAGTACAGATATCTTGTTCTCAGAGAGATATTGTTTTAAACCTTGTGATGCAGTCAGCGTCGTGTTGTCTCACTGCGGTGAGAAAACACGTTAGCGAACACAGTAACCGTAGTCCAGAAACTCTTATCAAAGACAGTAATGGGCAAATATATATATATAAATATATATATAAATGTATAAAAAAAAAGTAACTTCAGTTTAGTGTTGATTGCTTGATATGCAAGCATTTTTTGCATCAAAATTTAATGGCATTTTCTTGTCATATTGTGTATTATATTAAAAAAAGAAATTTCAAACAGTAAATACAATGAACATACTTAAAACAAACTGTGATGTACCTGTCAAGATTTTAGATATATAAATTGAAAGCACAAGGCCTTGGCTGCCCTGCTGTATAATATGTAATTATTACACCTATTGACTTTTAGCTTAAATATCTTTCTACTGTGTTTAATTTCCTGTTAAGTTAACAGACTTTAACAGTGTTATGTACAATGACAGAGTTAAGCTAATGTTATGCCATGTGTTTAATAATCGTTGACCCTCGGAGATTCTACTTTTATGGTTGGTTAAACTGGTTCTGGTTTCCTAGATCTGTGTTAGTCAGTTTTATGTACAGTTTTCACAGCACAAAATGAATGTCTCCTTTCTAATAAAAGTGTAAACTATAAGCAGTGTGTTTATTATAATGATTCAAGAAAAATCAGGGGGTGAGATTATCTAAAACCTAATGCTGCAGGAATGAGAATTAACCATTTTTTAGTTGTCTGTTCCGAAGCTGTACAGAATTGATCTTTACTAAATTAATGCCAATTTGTAAAATCTTACAGCCTCAAAGGGCTGTTTGAACAGAGCCATCCCTATCTTTGGATGGCACCTTAAAGTAATGGATATTTTTGATACTGCCAATGCATTTTCACTGCAACTTTCTAGACATTATGGCAATACCATCACTCCAAATGCTTATGTCGTATAACAGACTGGATTTTCCAAAGAGTGGCAATCATCCTCAGATTACCATTCAGCATGAAATTTCCCTCTGCATTCTTGCAGGGTTTTCCATGCCTGGCATTACTGGAAACATGGAAAGCATCATTCGTTGGAGAGCTCCTTCAAAGGGGAGAAAAGTAGGGGGCAGATAGGAAACACCCTCTTCTGCAGAACTGGCTGCCACATGTTAAGATTCCTGGTACATTTAGATGTTAGTGAATGGATGAGCGATGAGTAAGTGAATGGGGAGTGGGTGATAAGGCAAGTGGGTGAGGTTGAAGTTGCACAGGGTTACAGAATGAGATTCTGTGTGGTTAATGAGGCATCTCAATGGAGTAGTGGCTGGGTAAGATCATTGGGTGACAGGTTGATAATGTGATAGATGGATAAGCTGTTAGTTGAGATACATGGCAGATTGATCGGGTGACAGTTCGGTGAAGTAGTGGCTGTGTATAGTGGTATGGCTGAGGTAATATTTAATCTAGGGTTTAGTCAAGGGTTCAGTGTGAGTGATTGAGGTGTGGATTTACCCAGGAGTTAGACAAGGGGTTTTCAATCTAAGGTTTTCAAGGTTATTTTTCAGCTGAGTAAATCAGAAAATCTTCAACTTCAGCATAGATCCAGAAGCTTTCTTAGAGAGAGCAGCTTTCTGATCAATTCTGATGTAGGTCACCATGTTAAGGTTTCCATAAGGTTCCAATGCTCATCTCCAGTTATACATTTGGCTCTCAAGAATAAAAAATGAGGACCGTTGTTTGGCGTGGTATTTAACCACTCAACCAAGAAGTTTCTGATTTTCAGCTGCTTATCTATAATGAGTTAAGCAATCTTTCTTCAAGTAACAATTCTTGCTGCAATTATACAGGGCCTTGGTGAAACCACACCTGGAGAATTGCATTCACTTTTAGTCTCCTTGTCTGAGGAAAGATGTTCTGAGTATGGAATGTTTATCAGACTGATTGCTGGGATGGCAGGATGACGTACGAAGCGATACTGGATTAGTTAGGACTATATTTGAAAGGGACTCATGCCTGGCCACCAGGACCATGCTGGAGCACTTAGCAAGAAGGACTGTAAAGCTTGAACACGTTTTAATTCTGCCTTTATATTCTATGCTTCGGTTTATTTTTCTGTGTTTTAAGATGGCACCAGATAGTGGTGACACCATACATTTTTCACTGTATTTTTGTAACAAGATACACTTGACAATAAATGAATAAATTCACGACATTTTACGAAATTGAGGGGAGATCTCATAGAAACTTAAAAATGTCTAACAGGGACCAGATAGAATGAACATAGGAAGGACTTTCCCAATAACTAGGGAGTCCAAAATTAGGGATCACAGTCTGACTATGTGGGGTAGGCCACGGAGGACTGAGATGAGGAGAAATTTCTTCACCCAGAGAGTGGTGAAACTTGGAATTCTCTCCCACAGAAAGCAGTTGAAGAAAAAAAATCATGGAATATTTTCAAGAAAGATGATACATAGTTACAAGGGCTAAATGGTATGGGGAGAAAGTGGGATCATGACGCTGAGTTGGATAATCAGCTACTATGGTTGAATGGTGGAACAGGGTCAAAGGGCTGAATGCCTACTCTTGGTCCTGTTTTCTTTGTATCTAAAAACGAGACAGTTTCAAACAGTGAGATAATCAAAAAATAGACAAGACTTCTATTCCTGGTCACTATCTTTTGATCTGTGCTTCGACGTAACCATGAATAAATATTAAGTAAGGACAAGACTGTATTCATCTGCGATGCCCCTGTAATCAAAACATCTGTCAGTAATCATTTACTGTTCATAAAGAGTGATTGCTCTTGAAATTTTCCATTTTAAGAGTGGATTTGTCTGAGTTAGATCTTCCTCAATATATAAACAAAAAACTCATTCATTTCTGGTCATCGCTCTTTAGGAAGAATGTGCAAGCTTTGGAGAGGACACAGACAAAATTTACCCAAATGGTTTCAGTGTGAAAGATAGCAGTCTGGAAAAGCTGAGGCAGTTCTGTTAAGAGAGGCTGAGGAGAATTAATAGAGGTACTTAAAATCATGTGGGGTTTGTCAGAGTGAACTGTTTTATAGCTGTCCATGGGAACTGTGTGTTGCTTGCTTGGCCAGAATTTATAGCCTATCCCTGCACGTGATGGTTAGCTGTCTTCTTGAACTTCTGACATCTATCATGTCCAGATCCGAGTGCTCTCAGCGAAGAGGTTCTTGACTCAGTGACATTAAGGACCAATGATGTAGTTTCAAATCAGGATGCTGCATGGATTAACATGAAATAATCCAGCAATCAAAGTGTCAATAACCAATGGCGACAGATTTAAGATGATTAACAAATGAATAAGAATCACTTTTAAGTAAAAACATGTTTTGCACAATGAACGATTTGGCATTTGTTTGATATCATATAGCATACAGATTTAATAGTTGTCTTTGAAAGGAAATTTGAATGAAGATTTGAAGGTAAAAACCTGACAGGAATATGGAGAGATAGTGGGGGAGTGGAGTGACTGAATTACACATAAGAAAGATCCGGCACAAACCCAGTCGTTCTAATGGTCTCAGAGACAG